TATATATATATATATATATACGTATATGTAAATTTAATAGCTTGGAAGATAAAAAGGAAATAAAAATAGCTGCTCACCTTTATTAAAAACGAAATTGTGATGAATATTGAAAAGATAAACATGCCACCAAGACCGTACAAATGTAAAGTACGTCTTCCTGTCCTATCCATGAGTGGAATTGAGACTAACGTCATACCAACCATAATGGCTCCTATGCCTATGGTTGCAAATTTAGCACTTTCCTCTGTCAAACCTGAACTGGTGAACAAACTTGTAGAATAATAAAACACCTGTAAATATTATTTAATTATGTATTGTGATTGAGACAAGTATGTTGTGAATTAGGGTGTTATTTAATAATAGACTTACGGCATTAATACCGGACAATTGTTGTGAAAGTTGCATAACAACACCAATTACAAGAGGTGCTCGTAATGTTGGACTACATATAAGTTCTGTCATAGATATCGTAGATTCTGCTTGTTGAGCTCTTTCCTCTGCTCTCATCTCTTCAATATCTTCCTCTACTTGATTGCTAGCTCTTAATCTTCTCAATGCTTTTCTGGCTTCTTCTTCCCATTGTTTAGTTATGAGTAAATATCTTCAAATTAATTAATATTATTATTTGTTATATTAGGATGAACCAAATGACCCTGAACGTTATCTTTCAATATTTCCAAAGTAAACTTTAAAATAATAAAATTCATAATACAATTTGTAACACACATAAAATGACACGAACTTTTGTATTCAACCCTAATAATAATTAAACATAAAAGATATTACACTAACGAGTAAATATTTTTTTGAAATGTAATTAAATATAAAATAATATTCTTACCTTGGTGATTCAGGACATATTGGAAGCAATAATAGTTGTAATATGGCAGGACAGATAGCTAATCCTAAGAGAACAGGCCAACCCTCATTCGTCCCAAGGATTTGCTCGATGCCCAACACCTGGGAGACCAGGAGGCCCACCGTAACAGCGAGCTGGTTCACCGTGCCTAGGCCACCTCTTAGGTTCAGTGGTGCTATCTCCGATATGTACATGGGAACCAATGAGGTATTTAAGCCACAATTGACACCGATGATGAACCGTCCAAAGAACAATATTTCGTATGAGTGAGCAATCTTTGTACAACCCATCAGGCATGCCCCCACGATGCCCAGCACGTTATTTAGCAGTAAGCCCCCCTTTCTGTGGTCATAGGATTTAAAAAAAAGGAAGAAGAAGAAAATGATGATGATGATAAAAAAAAAAATAAAATAAAATAGGATCAGGAATGACAAAAAAAAGGGAAAGAAATATTTGTTTCATATTAAATGTTTCCTCAATGATTTTGATTAGTTTTATAAGTAATTGATTATTAAGTATATTTTATTCTCATGGTTGGCACTTACCTGCCAAATCTGTTGGCAATGATTCCTCCACTAAAACCACCTAGCATACCTCCAATAGCAAATATGCTCACAGCTACGGAATATAATTTTTTTACAGAGTCATCGGAAATATCCTCTCCGTATCTATTTTTGTATACATCTTTCATAAAATTTTCTATATTCTAAGGGAAAAAATCATATTAAAGATTTTATATATTAATGTAATAATTTAAAATTATTTTTTTTTTATTGTTTTTATAGGTTAATTAAACATACCACTTCGGGTGCGTTAATGACTCCAGTATTATATCCAAATTGCAACATGCCCAAAACAGCCGCCAATATTGCATACGATAAGAAAAATGTTAATCCCTGTAAATTATTATTAACATTAATTTAAATAATGGTTAAAATGCATCATGTGAGTTAAAAAAAAAATTTGCAAACACAAATTGTAGAAAAGAAAATATTAACAATAATTAAAAACGAGTCATTCACTACGTGCATCATTATTGTTTTCTTATAATATATTTGAAAAGGTTAATTATCACAAAGAGACATTAATTAAAATATCTTAAAGTAATAATAAATAAGGACAAAATAAAATAATTCAAAAAATAGCTTTATTTAATATACTATTTTTGATTATAACATCGAATAATCAAGTTTATACAGTTACAAAGTAATATATATATATAATATAAAATAAATAAATAAATATATATATATATATATATATATATATATATATATATATATATATATATTAGCGATAGTTCTCACTGTTGGTGCAGTGCTGCACTCCAGCTGTGAACAAAGTGTTTAAGTACACCTTTTTCTATTTTACTTTTTTTTTTGTTTTTTGTTTTTTTCAAAGGTATACAAAGAAGTGAGAGAAAGCACACAAAAAAAAGGTTAGCTATGTACACAAAAAATTGACAGTTTTTTTTTGTTTTTTTTATAAGTGATATTGGGTAATTATTTTTATTTCACTATTCAAATGATTTTTTTTAAAAAGAATTTCAATTAATTGTTTTTATATTATTTTCAGGTAAAAAAAAAATTAGAATTAGTTCTACCTTTGTTAATATTATATAATTTTGTTTTAACTATATATTTTAGTATAGTATAGTATAGTTAAAATAAAAATTATACATTTATATTACATATAACATGTATATATAATATATATTATATATATAATATATAATATATATAATATATAATATATATTATATATATAATATATA